GGGTCCGCCCCCCAAGGCAGTTTGGGGTTTAGGGTTTCGGGTTTAGGGGTTTAGGGTCCGCCCCCCAAGGCAGTTTGGGGTTTAGGGGTTTAGGGTTTAGGGGTTTAGGGTCCCTCCCTTCAAGGCAGTTTGGGGTTTAGGGTTCAGGGTCCTCCCCATACAGTTGGGGTTTAGGGTTTCGGGTCCCTCCACATACAGTTGGATGCAGAGTTCCATAACGCGTTTGGTAACCCTTAAATCGGAGCATATGGGCCCTGCGGGTAGGTAGGTATATATCTGGTCGAATCAAGGGTGGATGGCGGGTCCAAGAGATGTTGGAAGATTTTTGTGTAGGATTCGGGGATGTGTTCTTGACCAGTGCTGTTTTGTGGGATGGATTAGGCTTTCATCGTTTGGGCTGCGCCAAATGTCAGTTCAGTGTCGGACTTGTCGGTGTGAGCTTAAGGTTTTGTCCTGGTTTGAACTTGCTCTTCAACAAGATCTTGTTCAGGCTTCGAAGACGCGACCGAACTCGGCGGAAGACGTGGCTGCAGCTACTTGGGCTGAGCCGAGAACATTTGGATTCGTACTCTGTGTGTTTTGCATCAGGGAGTGCTTTCAATCTCCATGTGCTTCAGTGTTTGCAAGTTGCTCATTGGCAGAGTTGGTTTAAGGTTTGGGGTTTATTGTATGCACAAAACCATTTTTGTACTCATGTCTTCGTACCTTGGTCGTCGTTGTCGTCGTCGTTTCGTTTGTTGTCGTTTCTGTAGGGCATACAAACGGTTTATTGCAAACAAGTAGTTACACACATACACATATACATAGCCATATATCTATAGATATACACACACATGTGCACCTTATCCGTTTGCACACAGTCGAATGTAGGAAGGCCATCGCGGATGTTAGCCGGTGTCTTTCTTGCATGAGAGAGGTGTGCGACTTCAACTATGGAGCGGTGAAACCTGCATAGTGGGATACTGTTCCCTTAACCTTGTCAATATATAGACACCTTTACCGTAGTACCCATAATAGTAATACGCCCTAACCATCCTAAACCCCAAAACCTTACTCTCAACGCCTATAGTAGAAGCCACAAAGTTGGAATATCCTAGTCGTCATGCCGTTGAAGCAAAAGTATAAGGGATCCTAACCCAAATCCTCCCAAACCCAGGTTCCAACGTTCTGGGGTTTAGGGTAAGCCCTAAACCCTAACCCTCATCGAGCGTGGCATTTGGCAACCCTAAACCCTAAACCCTAAACCCTAATCCTTAAACCCTAATCCTTAAACCCTAAACCCTAAAATCCTAAACCCTAAACCCTAAACCCTATAATCCTTAAACCCTGAACCCTAAACCTTAAACGCTAAATCCAAAGCCTGAAACTACGTATCAAGGCTTTTGCGGCGCCTGCTCGGCGCAGCTCCAGCGCCCAACCCCGGGCACGGCAGAAGGGGTGAGGCTTCGGGATTTTATGGTTTTTGGGTTTTGTAGGGTATTTTAGCGGTTTTTTAGGTTTTTAAAGGTTTAGGGAGCTTCGGGGTTTTATGTTTTTTGCGGTTTTGTTAGGGTATAGGGTTTAGGGTTTTAGGGTATTCGAGTGGGGCTTAGGGTTTAGAATTCAGGGCTTAGGGTTCTGGGCTCGGGGTGGATAGGGTGTCAGTCTAGGACATTTTCAGGTGGGTAGTTACCGTTACAGGAGCCTTTCAGAAGGTCTATATACCTTATGGAAGCCTTATAGAAGCCCTATATACCCTAAACTCCCCACCCAACCCTAAACCCAAAGCCCTAAACCCTAAATCCTAAACCCTAAACCCTAAACCCTAAATCCTAAACCCTAAACCCTAAACTCCCCACCTGTAGTTTCCCTTAAGTAAGGGTTTGGGGGTTTGGGTTCCCGAAGCCTCCAAGTCTCTCTTTGCATCTTCCTAGGTCCTAGAGATCAGACGATGGTAGCGATTTTGGGGTTTTGGGGGTTTGGGGGTTTGGGGTTTAGGGTTTAGGATTCAGGTAGCGATTTTGGGGTTAAGGGTTTAGGGATGGTTCGATTTTGATACGGATGGCGAACTCAAATCTCCGGAGGTTCAGACAGGGTTCGGCACCCTGGATTTAAACCCTGAGCCCTATACCCTGAACCCCAAACTCTATCTTCCTGGATTTCGAGCGTTCAGGTGTGCTTGGGATAGTTATCTTGTCGGCGTCAGGACTCTGAGGGACTCGTCCTTCCGCCTCGCCTTCTTGGCTGAGGGGTTTAGGGTTTAGGGGTTCCGGCATCCTTCTAATTTAAGGTGTATTCCTTAATCAAGGGGTTTTGGGTTCTCTGGGTAAGGGTTTTGGGGTTTGGGTTCCTGTATTTTGATACCGATGGCGAAATCAATCCTTCTAGGCTGAGGGACTGAATTTCATCTATCTCCGCGCCACATCACATTCTTCGTCTGGGCGCTTTCCACTTCTCCCGTCCCCGCGCACCTGTGCCCTGAACGACTGCTCACCCGTGGGTGTCTTGCAGACAGCTACTTAAAGGATCATGGGACTTAGTAAGTAGGGTCATAACTAAGGTGGCTATACTTATAACCCCAAATGAGGGACTTATAACCTTACTCACTAAGTCAAATGATGCTTTACAGTCAGAGTAACCCATCCTCCGCGTCATGTCGTTGACTTTCCGGTCAGATGTGTCTGTCGAAGTGCGTGCCCGGCGTAGTATAGGGATCGGAATAATTGGTAAACGTCGAGGATTCCTTACCATACAAAAGCCCCAAACCCTCTTCGAAATATCACGGCCGATATAGAGGGTTGAGAAACTCACTCAGCCCTGCAAGCCAAAGTTCTACACTCCCAGGTGTGTCACGGTTTAGGCTTTAGGGTTTAGGGCCAAGGCCCCTAAACCCTAAACCCTAAACCCGAAACCCTAACTTAACGGTTAAAGGTCTGGTATTGACCGCGTCAGGACTGTCGGAGTTTCACGTGACAATGCACATGACGGTCGACAGACAGGACCCCGAACCTGCCCTAAAGGGCCTATATAAGGGTCCAGGTACCTAGTTATTTGTGCATGTCCCGCTGACTCCTTATTTCATAGATAGCCCCCTAAACTGTGGAAGTACCGTTTATGACCCGAATATTGACCTGCATGACTGCTACTACTATCACATACAATATCCTGGTAACCCGAGTAGCCCTTTGTTGGGTCCCCTAAGCCAAAACTATATAAACCTTAAACCCTAAACCCTAACCCGAGTAGCCCATTGTTGGGTCACCAAAACCCTAGTTAAATAAACCCTAAACCCTAAACCCTAATCCCTAAACCCTAAACCCAAACTCTAAACCCTTGACCAAAGTATCCCTCAACGGGGCCCTTGCAGGAAACACCTCAAGAATGCCTCTTCAAGCTCGAAAGCTGACAAAGAAAGGTAGAGTAGGGTTTAGGGTTTAGGGTTTAGGCATTAGGGTTTAGGGCTTAGGGTTTAGGGTTTATATCAGGAACCGAAAAAGCAACCAAAACACAAACTTTGGGGTAGGATATCCCTACCATGTTTACACAGGGGATTATGGGATATCCCAAGCTTAGGGTGTTTGCTTCCGTCCTTTTGTTAGGTCCCTACTTTGGGGTTCCTGCAACCCGAAGATCCTCCGATTGCTGCCCCTAAACCCTAAACCCTAACCCCCCTAAACCCTAAACTCCAAACCCTAAACCCTAAACTCCTAAACCCTAAACCCTAAACCCCAAACCCTAAACTCCTAAACCCTAAACCCCAAACCCTAAACTCCTGAACCCTGATCCTCTGCGAAGGACTCGCCACTCCCTGTGGAAGAACCCCGAGCTTCCAAAATCCCGGGATCTACAAGGCTCCTTATTTAAGGGTTGAGGCTTTAGGGTTTAGGGGTTTAGGATTTAGGGGTTTAGGGTTTAAGGTTTAGGGTTGTAGGGTTTAGTGTTTAGGGGTTCAGGGCTCCTTATTTAAGGGTTTAGGCTTTAGGGTTTAGGGGTTTAGGATTTAGGGGTTTAGGGTTTAAGGTTTAGGGTTGTAGGGTTTAGTGTTTAGGGGTTCAGGGCTCCTTATTTAAGGGTTCCTTTAAAGGGGCCTATGAAGGATCCCTAGGGGTTATAGGGTTGTAGGGTTTAGGGTTTAGGGGTTTAGGGTTTAGGGTTCAGGGGTTTGGGTTTAGGGTACCTAGAGCTTCCAGAATCCCTTCATTAAGGCATATTGGGTGGTTCTCTAACTTAGGGTCCCTTTTGGCATCCGTTTTATTATCGGTTTAGGGTTTAGGGTTTAGGGGTATTAAGGGTGCCGTACTACATTGGGGACTTAGAAAGGGACCCTATTTTTGAGAACTACCCATATCTTAAATCATACTTGGGATACCGCTATAGTTAAGCTATCTTGCTTAATCAAAGGATTTTGGAAGGTCTGGGACCAAACCTTTTCTGTTCGCGGCGTTGATGCCGTGCTGAGACAAGCCCCTAAAGATAGCCGTTATAAAGCGGAGTAGTACTAAGATGGTACCCTTACTTGGAGGGTCGGGAGACTTAGTAAGTAGGTAATAAGTAGACTTATAAGTACCCTAAAAGGGACCCTAATTGGGGTTATAGTGCTTATAAGTCTATAAAATTACCTATTACTAAGTCCCCCGACCCTCCAAGTATTGAAACCCTGCTAGAACCGTACATACTTAGATGCGACGGCTTCGTGGGACTTGTCGGCGGGCTTCCTGAACCAAGCTCGTGCAACCAGCCCAAAATGGGCCAAGTGCTAATACCAATTCCAGATACATGGAAACTACCACAGACAAAGTGGTGAGCCCTAAAATGAAGCTGAAAGCCCTGATCCCTAAACCTCAGCCCTAAACCCTAAACTTCAAACCCTTAAACCCCTGCAAG